TCATACCTACAGAGTGAACAAAAAAATTAATAAAAATTAAAATGCTACAAAAATTTTGTTTTGTTTTTGAGTTGTGCGATTTTTTTAAATGACCAGTTGTATGAAAATTTGTAGATAAAAATTGAATAAAATTTAGATAATAATCCTTAGACAACAGCCTTTGTAAAAGGTTTTATAGCGGGTTGCCATTTGAAGAAATTTAAAATTTTACAGAACCCAAAAACAATAGAATTCAAAAAATAATATTATTGAGAAACGTCACATTTTCATAATACTTTATCATTTATCAAGTAGTTTTTTTCAAAAACGTATGGTTCTGTTTATTACATCGAGAAAATTTCGAAGAAATAGAACAATAAAAAATTTCCCTTCGCGAAAATTATTGTGAAACTGTTTTATGAGCAAATATTTTCAGTTACATCACGGAGTTAAGACCTTGGTAAAAATTTCACCTTTGATAAGTCAAATTATCATTAAACATCCTCATTTCCACATTACGCAAACAATTGAAATAATCAACGAACTGAAAAATATTTCGCACAAAGACGCAAAATAAAATTATTTCAAAGTGAACAATTTACATAAAAACCTAAAATTCCCGGAATTAAAACGTCCTTGGTTCAAGTCACACTATTGTTATTTTGTAAAATCCATCAGTTTCGCTTGCATTACAACTTAAATTACACTTGAACCACATTTTAAAACATGTTAGGAAAATGTAGAGAAATTGAAAATCGGAAGGAAGCTCTAGTTAGTATTTGTTCCGCATTATCCCTCATGAACCACTTAATTATTTTCAGTAGTGTGCTTCCGTTACTCGATTTCAATTAAACAGTACTAGTTTAAACCGTCTAAACGCAACTTTTCAGAAATCACCGTACCATGTCCCATTCTCTATTGGAAACAATATAAATGAGAAAAAATTCCCTCCATTTAATTGTTTATTCAATTGCTCAACTAAGGCTTGTTCAAAATGGTAGATGTCAATCCAAACCAATTAGCCTTTCACGGTATTTCTTACACTTTTGTATGAGTAAAGTTAACGCAAAAATTTCTTCTAACACTATTTGAAAAACTGGAAACGTAGAAACAAGTTACCTAAAAGTGGAAAGTAGTGTTTTGATGCTTGGGAAAACAAGATTTCCAAATGTTTTTCGTTTAGAAATCTCGTCGAAAAACATTATCCTGTGAAATAGAGCTTAGATTTTATTAAGGTCCGAATATTCAATCTAGTCCAAATAAAACCTTCACCACTATTAAGAAAATTGCTCCAAGAGCATTTCGTGAACTAGACTGCATCTAATTGTTTTAATAAAACCGCCATTTTTTGTTCATTTGATCTTAGTAGCCTTCCATTATATTGAGAAAAAGTGTTGACCATTAAGGTTAATTGGACATAATCGTCGCTTTTACTGCTTATAACGCAATAAATGCACTCTGTTTTATTAGATAAGAGTGGAGATCTAGATTTTACCACGATATTATAATAACAGACATACTCGACTTGTTCATCTGTCATTTACGTGAATGAATTATTTTCAGACAGTTAAATTTAATCAGATAAGACTAACTGGTTTATCATTTACCACAAACAACTTTTTATGAGACTATGACCCAGAAAGGAACCTTTTCCGCATATATGGCCAACCAACTTCACATTAAATGATTGGAATTTTGTTAAGTACAATCATTTTCTAAAGGTTACTTGTCAGAAGTCAGAAAATGACGTAAAGTGATGTCATAAATTGACAGAAAAATTAAATGACTCAATGCCTCAAAGCATTTCAATGATAAATCTCCTCTTTCGCAAGAGTGAACGCCTTAGGTTGATGATAATCCGCTCATGGTTACACGTTAAAGCATAATAATTATCATTTTATTCTATTATTTAATAATTACACTTCAAAACAAATCACATATACACTTTCGAAATCAACTTTATTGTTCAAAAACGTGACAACAAATGAAAGTATCCTAACGCCAGTTTACTTTTAATTTTCTTGACACGCGATTCAACACAGAAAGTGCCCTTCAGCGACTTGTAAAGACTCGTTCCAAAATACATAATCGAAATCCCACCAGGTCAGTATGTTATGTGTTAAGGATAGCACAATATGGCCCGATTTCACACATATTTAATACAGGAAACTGAACCAAATAAACAATGTAGATGTTTTCAACAAAGAACACATCTGAAATAATTTCTTTCATAACAATTCCACTGTTTGTACAAAATACGAAAATAAACAAGCCCAAATTGGTATTGTCACCGAGCCACATGAGGTTAATTATCCATAAACAAGGCCATTACGATCTTAATCATAATCTTATCTTCACGAAAATTACTCCGATAAAAATAAAGATAAACGAAAAATTCACAAAAGCTATACTGGTAAATTTTATCGATGAATCACTGGATAAATCCAAAAATTTTTGGTAAACAATTGGCACAATTGGTAAAGAAAAATAGGTGAGCAACTCGTTGTGGAATAATTATAAATAATTTCACCTCAAGTTTCATATGTAACAGTGAAACAAGTAAAACTGGAATTGCATGTTGAAGACAGAAGTGTTCTTTACATTCCACCAATATGTCCCATGTGGAGGCTACCCCATTCGAATGCCATTGAATAAATTATGAACCAACATTTGCGATTAATTTACAACCACTACTCGGTAATTTTAGCTTTGAGCATATATCTTCTTGTAATTATTCTACCGCTTCTACATAAAGCAAAATATCTAATTTCGTAAATAATCTGTAGTTATTTGAAGTGTAATTAAGATAAGTATATTATATCACAAGCTTGAGAAGAGATTTTTTATAGCCGAGCTGTTTATTACCCGAGGTGCGTAGCATCGAGGGAAATAATAAATGAGAGGCTATAGAATATTCTCTACTGTGTTTTACATACTTTTTTCACTATTAGCACTTTACTCAGAAATACATCGGTGAAGAATATGACCTTACTTTTTGTTAATTTATTATTACCTATAGTAATTCAATAAACATAAGTTGGAAGTATTATTTTATTCTTAACGTATTAGAGCTTGCGAATTTATAAAAGGATATCGATAGGCGGAGCCAATGCATAGTGGCGAACTTTGAGCAGTAGCGTAACACAGAACCATTCTGCGGTAAAAATATAATTGTAGCGTTGCATTTTTCTTTCATATATTCAATGATTCAAATACATAATTTGTGCTAGAAAAGTTATATTTATATTTATTTATATTTAAGTTATATTTAGGTTGGCAATACAATGTGAAAACTAAACTCCAAACAAAAAAAATATTCAATACATCAAATATTTGCTGGGAAATCAAACCACTTGTCATTTAAAAAAATGTCAACCAATACTGCCAACATTTGATAAATTTTTGACGATTTTGACGAATGCAAAATTTCTGGCCAAAAGACAAAAAAATATTTTTCATTATTATTACACAGATTATAATTTGTTCTGAATAAAAATGTACTAAAAGAATAATTGGTTTAAAAATGTTATTTGACCCGGCAAAAGAAGAAGAAACCATTTGGCAAATAATTATTATGAGACATAATTTTCTGACAAATAATTTCCACAACCTTTACACTCCACTCACCCGGCGGTTTAGACCTGCAGTCAGGCAAGATTCACCATTACGGATGTTGCTATAAATGTTTGAAATAAGATTTAAAAAAACTTCCTAAATTCTCCAATCAAGCGTCACTGCAGATCTTCCGTCTCGCAACTTAATGATTTTTTTTTAATTAATAAACTAACAAAATCAAAATATTTTTTATACTAAGTACTTAGATTTTTTTTGTTCAAATAAATAAGTGAGTATTTTAGAACTTCGCAAGTGCACCCCTTCCATCGATATACTTTTACAATTTTCCAAACTCTAAAAAAGTTTTCTAATTTCATAATATAAAATATTTGTTAAAATCGCAACAGCAAAGAAAAAGAAAAAAGTGTAAAAATCCCCCCTACTACCTGTAGCATTTTAACATGAAATAGCCAATTTGTTGTTTTAACAGTTATGACATTAGAGATGGCGTTATTCTGATGTTTTTTTTTTTAATGAGAAAATTAAATCTTTTTTATTTGATTTTGCATTAATTTCATCTAGGAATATTTCCGTTAGTACTTGTGATGATAACGTAGTACCCCCCAAATTGGTTTTTACCCACCTCTAATACATTATTGCCCTTGGTCAATAATGAAAATGATTATTGACCACTAGAAGAGAAAAACAACTTCATAATTTCTCGTCAAACCAAATTAGTTTTATACAACTAGTAATGAAAAAAATATTTTCTAGTTATCTCTCATTATTATGAGATCCTCACGAAACAATACGCTCGTTACATTTTTATTAAAAGAAAGTGTAACATTTTCATGGCTGAATACTGCATAAATTTGACTATCAACTCTTTCAAAATTTCTTTGATATTTTGTTATTCATATTAGGTTATTTCATCATTTTTAACAAGAAATTTCCCGGCTAAATTGACATCATCAGCAGGAAGGCAACGGTCTATTCAAAATTACGGACGTTCCATTCTTGTCAAGGAGGATCTCAAGGACCCCTTTTTATATCCACTTTCATATAAAATCTCTCCAATTCATGCAATCCATATTCATGATTTCAAACACTAACAGTTAAATTACTTTTATTAAATAATTTATTCCGTTCATTGATACATATTAACGGGACTCATCCTTGTAGAGGCCTATCTCTAATTAAATAACCAACAATGCGGGCGCTAACATTGAGTTTCTTCCTTTTTAAAAAAAATATACTAATTATAGCAATACTAAAGGCCTATAAAATTTTGAATAGGATCAATTTCGTTATTTTTTGCCCATCTAAAACTCAGTGAATCAGACCACGAAATTCCGGTTGTAATAACATAAAAATGCAACATTAGAAATTGGGGCACCCAAATGCGTATATCCGCATGTTTTTCCCAAACAAAAAAATGATAATCCACTTCAACCACAACAACTCACCGAATATAGAAAGGGGGCCCCGGTGTTGTAATATCCCCTACTCATCTTGTCAATGGGGGTGCACCCTCGTCGTCGACGTAAACCATTTCACAATTCACAGAATTCAATCCCCTTCCGAAATATTCACCATTTTTTAAACAATTAACGTTAATTAAGCAACGATAAGTTAAGAAGGTCAGGTAATTTTTCACGTAAGCTGGTTTCCGTTTGTCTTATGTAAAATACCGTGACGTGAGCTAATTTAATGCTTGATTAACGCATTTTGTAGATAAATAATAGGTAAATATACACAAAATATCACTACTGCAGTTTTATTCTCTGTGACTCACTCATAAACTGACAATTTCCCGATTGTTTGGTTACCTGTCAAATTCTCGCGGCCATCTGACGGTGACTTGTCCAAACTACAAACGCGTGAAACGGTCGGTAATTTAAATTTATTATCAATTTTCACGAGCTAATGAGCTAATTTAATGCATGCACAATTATTTCAAATATCACTAACTGCACTTACACACTCAAAAACTGACAATTTCGCAACGGTTTGATCAAATCGACAAAGCGCGCGAAACGAGTCGGTAATTTAAAATTTTGTTGTTGCAAATAATTTTTAATTTAATTTTGATACATTATTTTGTTCGTGAGACTGCACCTCCGCTAGCTCCGGGCTGGCGACACTCACAATCAATCGCAGGTTTCTTTATTTCCGGATTATCACCATTTAAAGCAATTCTTTGCGCATTCGTGTTTGTGTTCAATTCCGTTACTAAATTATTGATAATATAATTCAAATCCAGCGATCTGTCACGCAGTGACGATTTCAGCTTATTTTGCAGTTTGATTTTATCAGATTCCTTTTTCGAGTTGATGTGTTTGAGGAGTTCCTCAAAAATGTCCATTTGACGAGCAAAAGTCTTTTCCACAATATCCAGAAGCTCCAAGTTTGGATTAGAGTCATTGACGTTTGAATTTAAAGTAGTTTTCAAAGCTTGTAAAAGCTTGTGATCGATTTTAATACTTTGGGAGGGTTCACCGTCGAGTTCTTTTTCTGCATCTTCGAAACCACGTTGGTCGTAGGAAATAATACTGACTTCAGGTGGTGGAGACTCGTCTAAATCGTACTTTTCTTTCCGGAGTTTGGAGAGAACGTAGTTTTTTAAGGTGCGAAAAAATCTGAATTTCTTCAAAATGGTTTCCCCAAATTTTGATTTCTCGTCTTCCGGGGTTGCACCAGAGCTGCTTGAAGGTGCAGTTTTGTCCATTAATAACACAAAACAGTTACACAGGAATTTTTAATCAATTACAATGAATTTTGACAGACAAAATAACGTTTTGAGTTGAGCAGTCTTGATACACTATTATTTTTTTCCTGACTTTGACTTTGCCATCAAGCAGGAATGTTTTGAGACTGTTTGGACGGCACAATCCGCGACAACACTTGCAACCTTTTCGTCCTCTAAAATATGGGGTTGGACATGTAAATCAGTTTGAATTCCGACGTCATTGTATGTTAACAGTTGCTTGTCGTGCCCTTTTCGGACACGTTCCCGTAACTCCAGACACAACTCATTGATGGCATCATCATCGATTAAAAGACAGTTTTGCAAGTTTAAATACATCGATTTTGGTATATCTTCCTGTTTGGGTTTTGGTAAAATGATGATTTTGTAGCTTGCTTCTTGAAGATCTTTGAATGGTGTGAACTCGAGAAGTTTGTAAAAGAGTTGTTCCTCTTGCTCGGGTTTGAGACACGCATCACCATTGCATTTTCGTTCTGAAGAAATTTGTCATTTTTTGACATAAAAATTTAATACCCACGGATAATGGTCTGCACGGCTTTGTCTTCGAAGGTTTTTTTACCCCCGACTGTCAAGTAATTCCACATTGGAAAATCTACGAAAAGTACTCAATAGCAAGTGAAAAAATTATTAATTTAAAGCGACATGAGACAACGCGATTCTGGGTAATTTGACCAAGTCGAAAAAACTCGAATTTCTATACTGACCCCTTCAAATAAAAATTAATATTAAAAAAAAAACAAAAGTACTAAAGCACCAAACTTTTGTAGACGACTCTTTGAAAGAAAATCGCGATTGAAATTCTGAATTCTGTTCTGTGTAGAAACAAACGGGTTTTAAATTTTGATTTTACATTAAAAAAAAAACAGAAAAGTCCACATTTTATGAAAAAAGTAGAAAGTCCAAATGAAAACATTGTAAAACAGCCAAAAAAGACAAACAAGCCAGATTTCTCAAAAAATAATGAAACAATTTCCAATGTCGCATTCAGTATAACAAAAAGCAATAAAATACACTGTCAAGTAATTCCACATTGAAAAATCTACGACAAGAATTGAATAGCAAGAGAAAAAAATTATTAATTTGAAGCGACATGAGACAACGCGATTCTGGGTAATTTGACCAAGTCGAAAAAACTGTACTAACTACTTCAAAAAAAAATGAAAACTTAAAAAAACAAAAGTATTTTTTCGTTTTTGTACCATCTCCTTTTCTTCTCTATCATCTAGCATCAAACTACTTTTTTAGACGACTCTTTGGAAGAATTGTGCAAAAATCGTGATTGAAATTCTACATTCCCTGTTCGAATAAAGAAAGAAGAAAACCGATAGAAAAAGACGGATTTTAAATTTGGATTCTACATAACAGAAGTCAGAAAAGTTCAATTTTTTATAAAGAAAGTAAAAAGTTCGAACAAAAACATTGTGAAACAGCCAAAAAAAAACAAAATTTCGAAAAACTCCAAACCAGTGTTTCAGAAATTTTCAAAAAATAAAACGGTTTCCAAATTCGCATTCAGTATACAAAAAACAATAAAACACCCTCCCTCACACATAAACGCACCAAAACTATAAATAAGAATAAATAAAGAGAATAATAAGAAATGAATAATTGTTATAAAAAACGTAAAAAACAGCTTCTTAACGCAGTGATTTCTCTAATTCCAATTTTTCATAGTAAATGAATATTTTTTAGATCTTTAGTTTTTATTTTCTTGGTAAATATATATCGGATGTGTCAGAACTCGCGCCCCAGAAAAAAATTCAAGTAAACTAAGATACCAGGAACATGAAACAAAATTTAAAAAAATTCTATCTGTCAAAAAATTATGACATTTAGTTTTTGACATTTTTTATGTCTATTTAATGATACTGATAATCTGGTATAAATTAACAAAAAAATAGTGAAGATTCTGCTTTATTACAGCTTTTAAGTTAGTTACGAATCTTCGACAATTATGGTAAAACTATCAAACAGCTTCAACATTTTCAAATAAATAAATGATAATTGTTTTGTTAATTAAATTTCTCGCTTTCAGTGATAAATCAACTGACTGCAATTAATTTTTCTATTATTTCATTTCCCTCGATTTTATTCCAAATCTTTTCTTCGAATTAATTCTAATAACACGTATTACGATTAATTAGTCACGAATTAATTACAAAAAAGAGATACGCTACTTGCGTTAAATTTATTAGTGATTTGATGTAATTGTGACTTGAATTAAAAGTGAAAGTTTTACTAAACTTACTAAAAATAAATAAGTAGTACCAGTTTTATGTGTCTGATTGTCGGTAAATTATAGCAACATTTGCAGTCTTTAATAACACTAGCACGAGTATGTTACATTTAATAAACTGTAATATAATTATTATTAAAACATCACGGAAATAAAATTTCCTTAATAAAAACAGTAAACAATAATTATTATTACCTCAAAAGACTAAAGCAAATAACAATAATAAAGTATTGGTATTGTGCTATTTGTAACCTACATTTTATGATTGACTTGATGTTAAAAACTGTGTTTCAAGCTTCCGGTTTTTATAGTTAATGGAGAGCATATTTCCTGAACAGCAGACTTGTCTCTTTTATATAGTTAACTCCATTTTTAACGGTATATAAAACATGGGTGTCTCCTCATGCTTTGCAAAATTTACTGTATCAAATGCACTAAACTTGTAATAAACACCAATCATATTGTTATTTTATTAAAGTTTCAAAACATTTCAAAAATTCTCTGTATGATTAGCTTTTGATACAAATGTTAATACTAACCTTGCGCCTTTTAAGTACGGAGAATTTGCCCATGAACACAAAATGTGTCAAAATCCGAAAGAGTACTCATCACTAGCTTAAACTTAACCATTTCAACAAACAAAAATTGTTACTTTATCACACAAAACACTTTCAAACACTGGAAACGCAGTTGAAACAAGTGGTGGAAGCGCGCCCGACTCATTTAGAGATCAGCCAAGCACCCAACCGAGACAACACTTCGCATGGAACGTTATTTTTACAAGGGAAATTTTAACATTCTGGTAATATTTTATAACCAAAAGAAACATTGTTGCACGTGGATAAAACTAACGATTTTGAAAAAAAGAAAATATCATTTACAAAAATTTAATACAAGAATGGAAGGAGCAGCTTACCCGAGTGTTTTGTTGATAACACAAATTTTATACCTTAGCTGAAATTTATAAACAAATATTTTTCCTTGTTTCTTTTATACTTTTTTAGATCAATGTCCTTTGTTGCCGACCTTCAGGTCGCCAAAACGCTCGCCTTGTTCGTCACTTATGCTGCGTAAGTTTTTAGAAAAGTCCAAATGTAAGTTAATGAAATGTGTATTTTAAGTCCCAGTTAAGACCCATTTGAGACTCACCTGGTGATAATTTTGCAATAATTCAGCGACAATTTGAATTTAAATAAATTTTAAATCAAAGGCATTTGTGCAAGAAAATTATCGTTCGTGATAAAAAACTGTGGCGTGATAAAAAAAGTGCACATAATAATAATAAACAAAAATATTCCGCCTAAAATTTAGATATTAATGTGAAAGAAAGGTCAGGATTAAAAGACCAACAAAAACAGGTTTGAGAAAAAAAAGACTGTTTTTATTTCAAGTGATAATAAATTGAACAATTTTAATTAATACAAAAATGCAAAACTTAAAAATTAAAATGCACTCACGCTATGGCAACTTTTTCTGTTACCCTTCGTAACAAATTCCCTCTTCTTCCAAGAAACTATTATGTATTTACAAAAATTTAATACAAGAATGGAAGCAGCAGCAGCTAATTAACAGTGCTTGCGGCTGCATAAAATTAAGAGAAAAAAATGATGAAAGCAGCATTATAGGTAGGTGCCGAGAAGAAAAAATGTAATTTTTGCCAAAAGATAAGACACTTTAAACGAGATTGTTGGTTTATATGAGAATGAAAACAAGAAGAATATAACATCATATTATAAATCGAATCAAATAAATCAAAAATTTATTGAAGAATTATTTTTGTTTTGGTATAACCAGAAATGATTCAGCTGGTTCATGGTGCACTAATTATGGAGTTATAAAGTATGTATATATTGTTAGATTAATTGGTTTGGAATGAATAAAAATGACATAACTTCACTTAAACAGCTACACTTCTTGGCTCAAAGAACCATCAAGAGATTCAGACTTGAATCTTTCTCGGTAACTTCACTTAAACTGTTTCACTTCCTGGTTCCAAGAACCATAAACAAATTCAGACTTGAATCTTTCACGGTAACTTATGCCAGCCTCGCCGAGTCTTGCGCCTACCTCGCCTTGCGCCTGCCTCGCCGGGTCTTGCGCCTGCCTCGCCGGGTCTTGCGCCTACCTCGCCCGTTTAAACCTTATACACCACGTTAATATCTTTCGATGTTACTCCAGAACTCTTGCGCCAGCCTCGCCCGTATTCACCTTATACACCACCTTAACATCTTTCGATGTGACTCCAGAAGTCAACGCAGTGACTATCTTCTGCGCCTTCGAATCCTATAACTAAACTGTAAGAGACCAATTCGCCAGATTTACATGAATAGAAATCTGAACAGGACCTATCCTTCCCCATTTTGAGATTTCAACTCACACTCCAACAGGTGCTCCAGGCTACGAGCAATTTAATCCCCTGACGTCACCTAAACCGCCGCAGAAACCGTCACCGAAGCCGCCTCATCCAACTCCAATTCCTCCACCATGGTCAAGAAAATTCCTTCCTTATCGCCCGTCTGTCATTTCGGACATTTTGAGAAATTACGCCAAATTCTGTCTGCCACACCATATGTGACCTTGTTACACAACCGCCTTTTCTTTGTTTCGTTATCGCTTTTTTAGTCCGTTATCGCCTTTTCTTGCACGGACTCTACCCGCCGGTAAAATGTCCTTGACAATAACTTCGCCGCACTTTTACCAACGCCACACAAATTTCACTAATTAGCACGTGAAATAATCCCCTTCTGATTTGTTACGAGACTTTTTCCAAAATGACTTTATTTTCCAACATTAAAATACAAAAATGTCAGGAGCACAGAATTACACCGTGTCGCTGCAGTCTTGATAGTGTTCCTCTCCCGTCACGCCACGCCGTCGTGTTGCACATCGCAGGTTCACTTCACTAAAACTGTTTCACTTGTTGGTTCAAAGAACCTTAAACAGATTCAGACTTGAATCTTTCACGGTAACTTCACTTAAACTGTTTCACTTGTTGGCTCAAAGAACCTTAAACAGATTCAGACTTGAATCTTTCACGGTAACTTCACTTAAACTGTTTCACTTGTTGGCTCAAAGAACCATATAGATTCGGACTTGGATCTTTCACGGTAACTTCACTTAAACTGTTTCACTCCTTGGCTCAAAGAGCCATGAACAGATTCAAACTTGAATCTTTCACGGTAACTTCACATAAACTGTTTCACTTCTTAGCCCAAAGAGCCATGAACAAATTCAAACTTGAAACCTTGACGGTAACTTCGGTTACTGTAACTGTTTCACTTCTTGGTCACACACACTTGAGTCGTCTGGTAGCTTTTGGGGATTAAAATGTACACTAGTTTTGACTTCTTGAGTTTCGAATGTCGTTCACTTAATTGCGATGTTTTTGCGTCGGCCACCTTAAAGAGGTGACAACTCAATTTGCTAACCATGTCCAAAACGTCTTCGCTCTTCACACATCAAGGTTCGTATAGTATTTTAAAAAACGAACAATAAAATAAAAAATAGCAAAAAAAGAAAAAATGGCTGTAAGATATTATGATCTTTATGATATAAAGATGCATTTTCTAATGGAGAATTAGAAAAAGAAATCTACATGAAACAACCACAAGGTTTTATTAACGACAAGAAGAATAATTCTGTTTGTAAATAAAAGAAAAGTATTTCCAGTTTGAAGCAAGCAGCAAGAGCTTGGAATAAAATAATTAATTAAATAATTATAGATATTGGATTCAGAAAGAGAACAGCAGATACCTATTTGTATTTCAAAAAAGAAAATTAAAATTGGATTTAGTTATTGATTTATGTTGATGATATTTTAATAGCAAGTAAATCGACAGAATTAATACAAAGCACAGTAACTAAGATTGTTTGCGGCTGCTTAGCGGTGCTTTCGGCCGCATAACGGTGCTTTCGGCGGCATAGCGGTGCTTTCGGCAGCATAGCGGTGCTTTCGGATGCATAGCGGCGCTTTCGGTTGTTTGGCGGTGCTTTCGGCAGTTTGGCGGTGCTTACAGCTACGTAACATTGCTTACGGCTAATTAACATTGCTTGCAGCCGCTTAACGTTGCTTACGGCCTTACGGCTGCTTAACATTGCTTACGGCTGCTCAACATTGCATACGGCCGCTTAACATTGCTACGGCTGCCTAACATTGCTTACGGCCGCGTAACATTGCTTACAACCGCGTAACATTTCTTACAACCGCATAACATTGCTTACGGCCGCGTAACTTTGCTTACCGCCGCATAACTTTGCTTTCGGCCGCGTAACATTGCTTGCAGATATTTAATAGTAATATTTAATAGTAATATATAATCTACAATGTCAATGTCATGAAATTTGCATTTACGTTTTTCAGAAGTTAAGAGATCTCAGTTTTAATCCCGGACATATCATCGCAATTTTCTTGTTTCTAATAGTATTTAAAAAAAAATAAAAGAGATAAAGGCGTACAAATAAGACTAAAAAGTAAGAAAATCTATACAGCTTTCTGCAATTTCAAAAAAATTCTACCAAAATTTCAGTAATTAAAAAGAATTCTACTAAATGTTTCGTAAATCCAATAATCCATCGTAATTCCTTTGTTTTAGTGTTTTGGTAGTGTTTACGGCTGCTTAGAATTAAGAGAAGAGAAATTAGGACAAGTTTAATGAAGCAGCATTAAAAGTAGGTGGTGAGAAGAAAAAAATGTCATGTTTGCCAAAAGATAAGACACTTTAAACGAGATTGTTGGTTTTGTAAGAATCAAAACAAAAAGAATATGACATCACATTAAGCAAATTAAATAAATCAAGAATCTATTAAAGAAAAAAAGAATTTTGGTTTTGGTATAATCAGAAATGATTCAGCTGGTTCATGGTGCACTACTTCAGAAGCTATAAAGTATATACGTATATTGTTAGATTAATTGGTTTGGAATGAATAAAAATGACATAACTTCACTTAAACAGCTTCACTTCTTGGCTCAAAGAACCATGAACAAATTCGGACACGAAACTTTCACAGTAACTTCACTTAAACTGTTTCACTCATTGGTTCAAAAAACCATAAACAGATTTTGACTTAAAATTTTCACGGTAATTTCACTTAAACTGTTTCACTTCTTGGCTCCAAGAACCTTAAACAGATTCAAACTTGAATCTTTCGCGGTAACTTCCCTTAAACTGTTTCACTTCTTGGTTCTTGCGACTGCCTCGCCGGGTCTTGCGCCTACCTCACCCGTCACTTAAACTGTTTCACTTCTTGGCTCAAAGAACCATAAACAGATTCAGACTCTTGAATCTTTCACTGTAACTTCACTTACTTCACTCCTTGGCTCAAAAAACCATGAACAGATTCGGACTTGAACCTTTCACGGTAACTTCACTTAGACTGTTTCACTTCTTGGCTCCAAGAACCATAAATAGATTCAGACTTGAATCTTTCTCGGTAACTTCACTTAAACTGTTTCACATCTTGGTTCCAAGATCCATAAACACATTAAGGCTTGAATCTTTCATGGTAGCAGCACTTAAACTGTTTCACTTATTGGCTCAAAGAACCATAAACAAATTCGGACTTGAAACCTTCACGGTAACTTCACTGAAACTGTTTCACTTCTTGGCTCCAAGAACCTTAAACTAATTCAGACTTGAATCTTTCACGGTAACTTCCCTTAAACTGTTTCACTTGTTGGCTCAAAGAACGATATGAATAGATTCTCACTTAAATCTTTCACGGTAACTTCACTTAAACTGTTTCACTTGTTGGCTCAAAGAACCATGAAAAAATTCAGACTTGACTCTTTCACGGTAACTTCACTTCAAACTGTTTCACTTCTTGGCTCCAAGGACCTTAAACAGATTCAATCTTGAATCTTTCACAGTAACTTCACTTAAACTGTTTCACTTCTTGGCTCAAAGAACCATGAACAGATTCGAACTTGAATCAACAATGGGCATCACTTAAAATAGTTAATTATCAATTAAAACCAAAAAGGTCTTTGCGTATCGAATATATATTTAAACACTTCACAAATAACAATTTTTTGCACCCATTTAAAAAAACACATATCCAACCACTTTACAATTAACACTGTTTTGTACTCACTTAAAATGGTTATTTACCAACCAAATCTAAGACGTATTGAAAAAAGTGGAGAAATCAAAAAGATTTCTCAACGTAAAAATAAAAATTATAGCTAAATCTGTTCTCCAAAATTTAGAAAAGCAGACTTTTTATCAAAAAATTTTGAAAAGTTTAGAACGAGAAAAATAGATTGAAGCTATGAAGAATGAAATTAATTTTATAAAACTGAGAAATTTATAGAAATTAATAGAACTTGCAGTGGAAAGAAAAGCAATTGGTTGTAAATGAATCTACAAAATAGAGAAGACAAAATAATGCAATTTAAAGCAAGACTTGTTACACAAGAATATTGTCAAAAATGTGGAGAAGACTATGATCAAGTATTATCATAATGAGATTAAGAAATTTGTTGGTAATAACAAGATAACAAAAAATGAATGTAAAGCATTAATTATTAATAAAGACTGGATTTTTAAATAGAGAATTAGAAAAAGAAATCTACATGAAACAACCAGGAGGTTTTATTAACGAAGAGAAGAAAAATTTCGTTTGAAAATTAAAGAAAAGGACAAGCCAATGTGGTAGAAGGAAACGACAAAAAGGATGTAAAACAGGAAGAAACGTCAGCACCACCAGAAGTAGAAGAGGTGGAAGGAACTGAAATAGTAAAAAAAAACAACGAACAACTGGTCCAGATTGATGAGGAAGATAAAATATCAAAATATAAAAAATCAGCAATTGAAATTGAAGTTGTAGATAAAAATGTTGAAAAAGGTTTAAAGGATGAAGCGGAAGAGTATGATTTTGAGCATTTAGTGAAACTTGATGCAAAAATGTCATTTGCTTTCTTACCAGAGAGAGTACTTATAATTGAAGATACAATAGAAGAACAAGTGGAAATAAAAGCATCAAAAAACAAAAAAACGGCAAAAAAAAAGAAAGAGAAGAAGGAAGAAATGGTTAGGTCTAATCCTGAACCTGACGAAAAAGGCAAGAAAAAACCTAGAAATGTTGTGACTGAAGGAAAAACTAGTATTGATAATGTTGAGGATAAATCATCGATGTCTTGGCAAGTGTTGCAGGCATTAAAACAGTGCAAACAAAAATTCAAGATAAACCTAGTGAAACAGTTACTGTTACTGCAAAAAATGAGTCCGTTGTCAAAGTAATTATTGATAAAAATGCTGATTCTGAAAAGAAATCCAAAAAGAAAAAATATAAGAAAAAGCAAGTTGAAAGCAAGAAACCATTAGTAAAACCTCTTGAAGAATCCCAGTTTCTTGCAGAAGATAAACCTGAAAAAGAGAGAGTAACAGAAGTAGAGCCAGAGAAAGCTTCTAGTGAAGATGTGCCAAAATCAAAAAAGAAGAAGAATAAAAACATAAGCAAAAACAAGATGATGTTGACAAGGGTCCAACTGAAGAGCCTGTTTCAGAAAAAAAAATGAAAAGAATATAACGTACAATAGTGGGCGATATTGTAACTAAGGAAAATTAGTCTTCAATAAAATAAACAAAATAATAAACACAGACTTTACTACAAATTAAATTAAAAGAAAACAATTGGGTTTTCAAACAAACACTGACTGTTGTTGCTTTTAAAAATCACAAATTCACACACTTGGCAATAATAAAGAAAAAAATAAAAAATTAAAATGCACTAACCTTTATGGCATCTTCTTCTGCTACTTTTTGTAGCGAATCCCCTCTTCTTCATAGAACGGACTTACTGGAAATAAAAAAAAAAACAAAATCAGTATAATGTGTTGTTAAATGAGTTGAGAACAATAAATACAATTTAAATGTAATTTTTCCAGAAAAATAAAAATTATTAGTGACTAACCCTTTAATCCGGATCCTTATAGCACGATTGTCTTCTCCATGTCCGGAAAACTCCTCCCATTGGCACTCAATAATCACTCGAAAATTTTAAAAATCGCGCACCACTAAATGTCTAAATAACACAACACTCACTCACTGGTTACCGAACTTATCTGAAACAAAAAATACAAAAATTTCAAATAATATTA